AGCATGCGAGTTTCGAAAAGTGTTCGGCTCAGAAAGAAACTATGCACGCACAGAGTCAAAACTTGTTCAGAGCTTTATCTACTGACTTTTTCCTTGTAGCTCAACCTGTAGGGATTCGTGGCTCAATTTGTCACCTATTGAATACCATTTTGGATTTTTGACAAGTACGTTGAAAGCCAAAACTGTAAAAATTAAGCTAGGTTCATAAGCGTTTTTGTCAAAGCAAACCGAATCTCGTTGGTAAATTCCAACGAGATTGGAATGAGGTTGTTTTCAAGTATTAATAACTTCATGGATTGTAATGGCTATTTTATGAAGTTTGGCTGTGTTGGCAACTCGAGATTACAAACAGTGCCATTGGTTTGTGGTAAAATGTGTACAGCTGTTTACGTCCGATCCAACAACGCAGAGGACACCCGTTCGGGTCTCACTGAAGTCTCATCCTACATCTGTTGCAGGCTAAATTTTCAAGACAGACCTTCGGATCTAAAGCCACTCCCACTCTGGGAATTATGCCCCTCATGACATTCATGTATCAACAACCCTTCACAGAGCTTGCAAGCGCTGAGTGTTAAAGATTCTTTGAGTCCAAGTGCCTAGTAATTGAGACTGAACCTTTGCAATACCGAGTAGAGGCATTTCTGAGCTTCTACATATATAGTGTACATGGATAATATATTCCAGACATTTTCAATTTGGGATGAAAACAATGCTGCTGCAGTGCAATACAGTACGCAAGTCCAAAAGAACGTACCCAAAACGATGTGGACTGTCAGAGAGCACACATCACGATATTTCACGTGCAGTTGTTGCAGCTGTATGACGAAGCTGGTGGTGATATTGTGAAGACGAGTTGCCTCCTTACACTTCAAAACCCTCACTTCACGCAGCTCATCTATCGGGAGAACTTCCTCACTTTGCATGGCGTGCGCATGCAACAAAAAACTTTTCAGCACGAGATTTTCGACAAACAGTCGCGATGACAAACGTAAGAAATTTCTTGTTGGACAGTGGCATTGGGTGCACATGTTTCCCACCATTACCCTTTGAACACGTGCCCAGATTCTAAATCTCCTCTCCAAATGGGCCCACTCGAGATCACATCTGGATTCTAATGTTTAACTGCTAACTGAAAAATCATATTGTATTATTCACTTATGGTTAAAAGAGCAAGATGAACGAAGCGCTTCCAAGCTCGTAGACCCTTTCAATCACTGGTGGTCTGCTCCTCATTACCCTGTAGAACTTCCGTATGGGGATCCGCGCATTGTCGTAGAGATGGGTCTGAGAAGTAGCTACATTTTTGGCAGACATTCCTTAGCGCATGCTACCCTAAACTCTGTGTCTAACATCCAGTCCAAAAAGGTAATTTCGAGCACAAAACAGATAATCGCTTTATCCGACTGCTCTGAAGTCATTAGAGATTACCTTCTGCTACCGTGGAGCGTGGAACATTTAGTGGACCAGGTTCCTATATATATATGCATCAGCTCCAGCAGGAGAGCTATCCTGTTGAGGCCGTGAGACTGTCCGGATGAAGTGTCTAAGGATTTTATTTTGCAAACTTGACCAATTAAATAAAGTCACACAGCGTTCAAATCACCATTGAAAATATCTCTCATACACACCTTATCTCCATCGGCCTTGTGTATAATGTTCACTTCTGCATACTCACAGCGAGCATACGATTCTTCTAAATATTACTGGTCCGATTCCGAGTACTGTGTGGATCCAGACTTCAAGTCTGGAGACCAGCCGATCATACGCTGGTTATAATATCTAGGTCTGTGCTTTGATGATCATACGTTTCTTCTATATACTACTAATACGAATTCGAGTACTATGTGGATCCAGACTTCAAGTCTGGAGAACAGTCGATCTTTACGCTGGTTAGAATATCTAGGTCTGTGCTATGATAAACATGTTTGGTTGCGCTCATCCAATATTTATCTTAAGAACTGACACAATTATAACTGGTTAAGCAGATCAAATGCTGCGAGTTTAAGTAAGATCATATTCCTTTTTACTCCAATCGTCAGACCTTGCTGGTCATGGCGAGGAGTTAATTCAGGGTGTCATTCTCAGTTGGCGGGCAGTAGACCAATCTCTGCAGTAAAGAGCTTCAGCTGGGACCAGTAAGAGGCATGATGTGCAGTTCTGGGCCACAAGTTCTGTCAAAAAGTTTTGAAGGAGAACATAGCAGTTACAGTCTATGGGAGCTTGAGTGTTCGCGAATTGATTTGATTCTAAATTGAGGTTATGCTGGTCTTGATTCCTTAGATGACGTCGATGGTGAAATTGTGGTAGCTGGATTCCATTTGGGAACATGTTCCTTCTTCACCTCAGATTGCGCCTTGCAGTCTACGAATGAGGGCATTACACCTCTCCGCCGATGAGATCGGATGCTGATAAACATAATCCGATATGTTTAAACTCAGACCTCTCGCATGAAGCGCCGCTTTCACATGAAGCCAAATCATACTGTGGTGGCATATTTGCAGTTGAAAGTGACTTTTCAGGACGTGAACAGGTTTTTGCAGGTCAGAAGAATTTATACAATCAGCGGAATTTATGTGAACTGCTGCACGCATGGTTGATTGTATGACAGAGATAAGTCTGCATGTGGTTTTACGTGTGACTTCCATCATCCGGAATCTTGACAATCCTGCAAATGTCCAGTCTGTATGCAGATGTTGCAAGTTGGGGAACACGTATCGGAGTGAGTGAGCTGATGTGAGATGTAATAACTTTTGAAATTTCCGAGGTAGGTTCAACAATGTGGCAGACATTCGAGCCTGCTAGACTCCACAGGATTCTTGCTTCATGTCTGTCGTTAGAGTGAACGTACATGCCTAGAATGAATCATGCTTCTGTTTGATAGTTGGTGAACAAGCGCGGCGCCTTCTGAAAAGTGGCTTTAGAAGTCATGATGATGGCCTAACATTTTCATTTTCATGCAGATTGCGTGATGACATGCAAACCGCGTCCCTTTTGAAGATTGGCAGCAAATCCTATCGAAAATATAAGACCTCCGTACTCCAACTCGGTGTATAAGAACGAGTGTCTCCGTGTTGGAAAGTATCAGTTAGCGGCAACATTGGTTTTGGGAAGAGATGGCCAGATAGAACAGTTACAGATTGGAGTTTCAGCGATGTTAAATATTGTTCAAAGATTATGAGTTTCTTGGCCATAGATTTGATATTATGTTCACAATTCATTCATAGTATAGAATAATTTTTTTATAGTACAAGTTAGTTATTTATGGAAAGTCTAATTTCCGTACTTTTTTGGTACTTTCATGTACCTTTCTATCCTATTACGTATATAGCCATATAATGTTTGTCTCTATATGTCTTGTTCTGCAAATAGAATGTTTGTCCGATAAGATTTTTTTAATTAAATGCATTGTAGCATAATATCAAATCTATAGTATTTAATTCACATTCTTTGATCAATATTTATCATTAAAAGAAATTTGAAACCGACATAATACTTCTGTTTGACAACGGATCTTTAGATTGGAACTAGATGATTGGCACAAATGATTTCAATCGGGATCCAAAGTGGTTGTTCTCTGCTCTATGGACATAGGATAGCCAGTTTATTAACGGATTTTTTAAAACAGCTGCTGTACCCCTATTATTGCAATCTGACTCTCATGTAGGATTGATTCATGTTCTATGGGATATTGGAAAGAGTACTCGCCGACAAAACATGAAGCGGCTGTCATACTGATTGGCTTCAGTTAAATCGATTACGTCATTGAGATGAACATGAATATTTCGAGAGACTAGTACAGCCGAACGTCAATGTCGGAGTTAAACAATTACAAGTTGTATACGTCTCCTCATCTCGATGTGTAGTTTCATATTAGATTCGCTGTTGTTTGACTAGTCTGACAATATTCTGTTTTGACTAGAATTTTGACCTTGTCTTCGGAGGCTCTCGAAAATAGAGTTCGGGTGAAAGCTATTTGACATTATGTGTATGTGTGTATATCTATCTGGATTTTGTCCAATAATGGAGACACGTCGCTGATTCTTGGCAAGCAGTTAGTACTTTCATATTAGACCCTAGTTGGTGGCCCAGTGATTTTATGTCTTTCCATATTGTGATGGACTCTCAGTTATATCTGAAGTTTGGTTCCTGCAATTTAGTAGTTTCTGACACGCATACCAACGAAATTGCATTGGCAATACCTTTTTATTTCAGAAACCGACAGAAAATTAGAGACATCATTTCTACAAGTAAGTAGACATTTTGATGCTAAGTCCAGAAGATAATGAGGAGACGGATATATAGGTGCTAGTTTCACTTTTTGATGCCATCCATCGACTATCCAATTATTAATTATTACATCTGTCAGACTTTTTACGTGTGGGTTCCATAGAAGTTTTGCATTGATTTTTCTAATTTCAGTGAACAATGGCTTCATGATCATTTGTCTTGTGCCACAAATTTTTAGACTCTTTGCAGGAGCTCTGCTTGCTACGCGAAGACTGCCCGGGTCCTCATGGTAAGATGAAACTTGTATCATGGCAATCTGTCACGACTACTGTTAAAATATTGCTCATGAAATTAATGATAAGTATTTGTATCTAAAAAAGAATGTAGACCCTGCACATTTTTATTTTTTTATCACTAGACGGGGAATTTACTGGCGCATGATACTTTGCTTTCAATTATGCTACTTTATTTTGGGTTTCACAATGTTGACATTAAACCGTGGCATAAGTAACCATGAGTTCTGGTCGGTAGGAATCGGAACTAAAGAGGTGTCATTGGACACTATGATGCGGAACTTGAGAGTCATCCCCACTTCATGATTATTGACCTTAGTTGGAAGCTTGCATCTACTTCGACTCAGAGAGTGCACAGCTTTGCCTTGGCTCATCAGAATGCACAAAGTCTTACGGATTCTAGCGTCCTGAAGTAAATTCTCAGTGGACATGCAGTCTGATTGTAGGACCTATACCCACCAGGAGTTTATTAGGGTTGCTGCTGGTACTGAAAGGACTCTGATCACTGATCAACTACTGATCCAAACATCTGGTCGTTGCTCGCAGTCAGCGAAAGTGTGGTACAACGCAACGCCAGGCCACTTGAAGTCTCTAAGTCAAGACCTCCTTCCGGAATCTCCATGAAGTTGAGTCCAGCATTGGCTGCCATCAAAGGAAGGTCTGGACGGTGGCAACCGTGGGAGTTTGTCGAGAGCAGGTTTCTAAGTCAGCAATCAGCCTGCTTTTTTTAATGTGAATTTCAAGCAGGTTGATGGCAGACTTGGTCTCGGGAGAGCTAATCCTTTCGGGATCAACGACCTTGGCATCTGATTTAGATGAACCGCGTGGCTCTGATATCCATCACTGATCCGGGACGCTGAGTCGGAGGAGGAATAAAGGGCATTCATTAATTCCTCGAGCTGTGCCCTTTTTCGACTGATTCATCTGACACTTCATTTGTATGCACGCATTCACGTAGCTTCGTGATTACCGATCCCAGAAGGTATACGGTTTTCAGCACATGCATGCTTCTTTCAGGGACTTCAGTCTGCAGTTTCTTCGATGTCCTTGTTTGCAGCTCTCTGAACTACCTATCGCTTCAGCTCTCCCGACTCTTTAGAATATCTACATCGATCTTTCGCATACTACTTCTGCTTCACCGTAAACTTGACTACGCATGAAAGGTTTGCTTGTGAGGAACCGACTTATGCTCCCCGTTTGCTCGGTTTCCCAATTCGGTAAATATTACACTACACGTCGTATGTGCGACGGACCATCTGGAGCACAGATGTGAACAAAAGTTGAGCTTGGAGCTTCATCCTGGTGATGACTACTGCTACATACTCTTGCTGTACATGCCTGGATTCATCGAGAGTATTTTGTACTCACAGCTCCTAAAAGAGAATAAATGGAGTGTTGCAGTTAGTATGGGCTTGTTGTGCTGGAACGTGAACTGTTACACTCCCTTAGATGACCGCCTGGTCCGTAGTGAACAGTTTTCTAACATGCCCGATCATGATGTTTCCTGGAAGGCTTCTTCTTTCTTCTTCACTCGCCTCTGCCGCGTATGAGTGGCGTTCTCTGCGAAGCGTGGTGTCTGGACGGCTGTATCACATCGCAGGAGTGTATATCTGATGTTTCGCCAGTCTTTTTTTTCTCTTCTCTTCCTGTCCACATCGCTTTACTGAAATCTGCTGAACATTTGCGATCAATTCATCAGTTTCTACTGACATCTTCAAATCTTCCGCAGAGTGGTCCATGATACACGACAGGTTACCGTGTAACGAGTTGTCATCTGAGTTGCTGTTACCCCTTATGGAAGGTGCTGAAACCTACCATGCTTTTTGCTCACACTAAGAGAGCACTGTTATACGCAGTTATGAGTTTTTGACCTGAATTTGTTCTAGCTGTAGGCACGTAATTCTCTGGGGAGGCATGTATTGCATTTGAAGTATGTTCGTCACAGCCTACCCTCCTCGATGGACCCAGACAGAGATAGTGAGACTTGACGTTTTAACTGAATGTGGCCTATGAAAAGACTCTGACCAAGTCCAGCTAAACAACGTCAAGGTTTGATAATTTCTCAGACCATGGTATGTGGCCTGTAGATCGGTAAAAATGGCAGCCGATGAAATCAGATCTGAAATCTTTCTTTCGGTTATATGCAGTCGTTCCAGTGTTTCTTTTCCAATCCCTTCTTATTTCCTGATATCTATTAGATATTTGAAGACCTAATTCAATAGACCTCTCTTCTTCCGGTGTGATTGTTGAGTGCGATTGTTCTTTCGATAAAACTCACTTCACACGACTCACGTTGTATCTGAAATTAAGATCTGCGCTATTGCCATAAGTACCTCAGGTTCGATTACATTCTCCTCGGGGGAACTGTCCTACTTCGAGACATCTCGAGTCGTAGTATATATTCTTGAGTAATCTTTAGCCAAGGCACATAGCAGCACGGTTTATATCTGATGCTCATATTCGTCAGTCTGTTCTATATAGTATATGGTATGTGCAGTGTCAACATTCATGTGAAACTTTGGAGGATGGTAGCAGAATGCATCACACCCAAATCTTATTTTCTACTGGGCACCCAAATAGTTCGTTGGTATTTCTTGTTTTGAGAATAGAAGTTTCTTGCAGGAGGGCTGTCATACAAGTTCTTTCAGACCCTGTCATACTAGTATGGAAGGTCACTCAAATTTATGGTACTGTCATAATGGTACTGCATTTAAGATGTAGAATCAGATGTCGCCAATTTTACCAATTTTAGTGACCTCCACTTCATGCACTCAAGAATAACAACCAAAAGAGTTAACGAAAGTGTTCTCCACCTGGATTGGTGTATCTTCCAAGTTCTTCAGAAACCTGCACACCCCGAAAGTAGTTACCTTGATGCTCGTAGCTTGAATATACATTAGGTGGTTGTCAGATTCGACCCGGATATCATGGAGATTTGTGAACAAGTGGCTCCTTGAACCTGTACAAGATATCATGGAGATGAAGTTAAGACTGAGAGACCACATATCTTCGAGCAGCTTTCTTTAGAACGTCTGAGGGACTGACAGCCGAGCCAAATTCGCTAGACTCTTCGGTTCTTATATTTAACATCATCACCGCAGAACTTAAGGGGACCACCTGAAGTGAAGTGTTCTCACCGTGAAGTGGCTTTGATTCTCAGTAATTATAAATGTATACACTATTTACTGATGATAGGGAGTTCCTCTCATAGAGATGTTCCAGCTACAAGGTATACGATCATGCTTCTCTCCGTTTTTCGGAGTTTGCAGTTTACACATTTAAGTACACATTTGGTTTTCGGTGATATAGTCATCAACTCATGGTATGGACTTCGCTGGCTCCTTAGTTTATACTGCGTTCATGGGTCGCAACAAGTGACTTCAGGCTTTGTTCAGTGTGCATGGCTGAGAGCTTAAGCCGATAGTATGGGAAGCAAGGCAAATCGTAAGACAAGTGAATTAGAGTTTCTTGTTTAGAACTTGTGGTTTACATGACTGGAGCGTTGTGTTTGACTTCCATTTAGAGGTATGTGGGAGAAACAGCAGGTGAATCTAGGCTGACGACTTATGCGGTATCAGCAGTTTTTTTCTCCTCAATGGAGCAGATTAAAAAACTTGCAGTTCAAACAATGCATCTAAGTTTCGCGTTCATCAACACTCAGAAAATGACATGCACTCGATCAAAACTTGAAATTTGTATGGTGTCGCCACATTCGACGCTGAAGTAACAAATTCTATGCATTTTAGATTTATCAGATTACTATAGACTGTTTCTAATCCCAGTTTCGTTTCCTTTGTGTCTGACAGACTTCTGCAGTCCTGTTGATCAAAGCATTGTCTCACGAGACTCTAATTTCGGTGTCTTTAGAAGACAAAGCCTGGCCACAATCTGCTTCTAAATTTTAAAAGTCTAGAATTTCCATTTGAAATCGTTCAATATCTTGACTTTTCCTTTTTCAATATCTAGTTATAGATGAAGACGCTAATAATCCCTAGTGGATCAACTGTTGAAAATGAACAGTTGTAAGCTTACTTTAATTTCATACATGTATACCATTGAAAAAACTTGACACAAATTATGGTGTCCATGAAAGAACAGTGAAAGATAATTCCAAATTCATTATTATCACTGCTCTTTCAAATTTATTTTACCAAAATAAATGAATTGCGTTTTTCAAAATATTGAAACTTTATCTATTTCCTGTCAACTCGTTTTTCATTAGACATAATATGGTGTATATGCTTTTCATACATTTTTAAGAACACAACAAACCAACTTTCAAACACCAGATGGTTCAGACTGATCATAATACTCTTGAACAGACATTTGTTTAAACACTGATAACTGCGATATATGCTTCAGGATAAAGCTGCTTTTATTCCGAACTGTGTTCACTTTCGTTACGCTTTTACATTCCCGGATGATTTCAATTCTCAACCTGAAATTGTTTTAGCATATTTCAAGAAATATTGATTCTATGTGATTTCCAACAAAATCTTGTTTCAGATTTTGTGATGAGGTTCTCGAGGTACACCGGGCAAAATGCATAGCTTCCTTGATTTTGTGCAAGTTTTGATTGAATATTCAGGTGCACTTTGCAATGTCATATGGGATAAACTATCAACAAATACACAAGTACAGAGTATTGTAGCAAAAAGATTATCACAGAAGTTTATCTAAATTAAGTACAAACAAGATGAACAAGTGATATATGCAAAGTCAATTGAACTATTGCTCTCTGATAAATCTTTAGTTAGATTGATGAGCGAAGGAAAACAAGATATCCTTCATATTGTACCTAAGAAAAATAAAAATAAATTCATATTATATCGAAGACAAATTTTTTTTGAAGAAAAAATAAATCCTATAAAGTGTGCATTCTTGTATTTAGATATTTTGCATAGTTTTTATAATAGAACGAAGCTATAAAATAAGAATGATGTTGAAGATATCTGGTTATCACATCTAGCTAAAAGTTCTTCCATTAATAGTTAATCTTATAATCCACATGAAATAAAAATAATATTTTTGGACCGAAATTCTTCTCCCACATATTCAATCTTAGGTTCTTATAATTTCAAAAGCAACACCATTGATTCAACTATAAAACAGTTTCAAGCATTACAAAATGTACAGACAAAAGAAAATTCATGCAAAATAAATTTTTGAATTCAAAGGCGATAATTTTTAAAAAAGTTCAAAATTGTAATGGAATGTAAATTTTAAGTGAAAAATATAACGCTAAAATCAATACAACATCCTTGTGTTATACCACACATTTTATAATAAGATGATGACAAAATTCGGTTTTTTTTATTTGATTATATGAAGTTGAGAATTCAGATCAAATATCACAAAATTTAAATGACAAAAAATTCTAATTTTAGCTCATCTTTGAAGCATTAAATTGATGATTATTCTTTTAAAAATTTGAAATTATATTTCACTATATGATATATGATCAAAGTAAAGATGACATGAATATATTTTCCTAATATCATTAATGAAAATTTTATTATTAGAAATTTAAACTATCATTTTCAAATCCAAGTAAGAAGATCACAAGATTTGTTCATACGTACATTTATCCTTTTTTGTTTAAAATTATGATTCTAATTTTTTTTACCTCATTTAAATTTATAATTATTATAATTTCCAAATTTCTTATCAAATATTAAAATTTAATCAATTTAATACTTTTGTCTGTTTGAGACATGCAAGATCAAGTGATAATCAGAAAGACAAACACAAGTACAGGCAGTCCTAACATGATTCACCCTACAACGTCCATAGAGAAAGCACGCAAGAAAATTTACAACCGTAATATAAAGCACAATAAATAGTGCAGAAGCCTGAGCTTATATATACGCAACACCAGCTATCAGCCTAGCTATAAATAGCTAGGACCTAAGATTACTCATTAACCGAAGTTAACCTCAACAATCTTTCCCTTAACTAGTGTTAAGAAAACAATAATTCCTGAAACTTATATTGTTACTCCGCATGAAATTCTAGACGGAAACCTAACACAAAACCTCTCTTTACATGAAAGTTAATTAGAACTAAGCCGTAGTCATAAGAATATATAGTAATAACATGAATAAGTAGCTAAAAACCAGCTAGCATAGAAGTAACATAAACCTTGTAACCCATATAATTACTTCGCAAGAAAATCTAGAATGAAATCTTATACAAGATACCTCTTTACACTAGAGTTAAGTTGTAGTCATCATAAGAAAGAATGAATATATAAAGAGATATTTGAAGATACTATGCTATTTCTCAAAATTCTGTTTCGTACTTCGCGTCAATCTCCAAGATTTGCCTACGAAGATCTTCCTCTGCCGTCTTCGTACCTGCGAGCTTACCCCGAAGTTCTTCGGCGATGCGAGCTTCTTCGGCTCTTCGAGCTTCCAACTTAGCAAGGTCTTCGACATGCTTCTTCTCTCGCTTCTCTGCTGTCGTGATCAATCACTTCGCCCTTTTGACTGCTGCATCGTAAGCTTTCCTGGATTTGTCCAATCTCGCCATCAAATCCACTATTACCTTCTCGGCATTCTCATTAGAGGTACGAAGTCCTCCACAAGTCTCTTCCAACTCTGCACAACGTCCTGATTCCTTCTCTAGATTCAGCTGCAACACTTCACACGCAGTTTTCTTCTCCCAAAGCTGGGCTTCTCGCTACCGCAATGTTGCCTTCACTGCCGCGCACTCGGTTGACAAGGTTGCAGCTCGCTCCCGTGCCAATGCAGTCGCAGAATTCCACTCCTTCTTTACTGCAATTGCTCTCTTGAGCTTCGTTCTGTTCCTGATCATCTGAACATAGAATCATGGCTCCTTCGATACAGCATACTTCCTTCTCTTTCCGTCCAAGTACTTCAACAATGGTACTACACTATCCTGCAAGAATTCAGGAAATGTTACTTCCAATGTCTTCACCTCTTCGCCCGAAGTCTTCTTTCCTTCTTCGGGTCTCACCTCTTCCACAGGAAACGTCGGCAGTGTAATGCCCTCAGCTTCCACCACCGTCCCTCTTATCCTTGCGACAACCTGTTCCAGAATCTCCTTGCTCAAAGTAAACTCCTTCTCCACGTCCTTGTTTCTCTTCATCTAGGGTGTCCCTTCGCCTTGCGCAGACCGTGTCCGCTCCGAAGACAGAGAAATCGGACTTACCAATTCCGTTCCTTCGTTCAAAAATTCTGCCGGATCTTCGATGGACACCTCCGAAGGTACCCCTAACTCCACAGATCGCATTACCTCGCTAGTTGCGAATTCGGATGTGTTCACAATTGGTGTCATCGTCTTCTCCACATTGTTATCTGACACCTCAACTATCACCATCCTCCGTTTCGTCCTCTTTTTTGGTCTTGCGCGAGCTCTGTGCTGTCTGGCTTCACTCACATCCATATCCATCCTTCTTACCGTGTGGGCCAATTCCTCCTCATCATCACTTACGACCTTCCTTTTCTTTGCCACTCGTCTCTCTGGCTGCTTCTGCCTTGGAACCACGGCCACTTGAACTGGTCCTCAAGCGGTAGTGTGTGTTGGAACTGCGGGAGATCGGTTCTCGTCTTCGGTCCCTTCACTGGACTCCATTGTAAAGCTCTCCCGCTCCCTTGAAAATCACTTTTCCTCCTCCCTCGTAAGCAATCCCATTCCTCGATAGAAATTCACCAGAAAGGGGGTAAAATGATTGGTCATAGATCTCGTCCATCAACTAGACACATTCACCCAGACAAGGTCGTAAAAGATCCTTGCCCAATGTACGCGCTGTACCTTCCAAATGCGTTCGAAGAATCCCACCTGCCAGGCCGTCACATAAGTCGTGCGCGCCGGCCGTAAGATGTGCATGATCCCTAACGCGATCGCCCTTCTCTTCGGATCCTTATAATCGACAGTGTTCCATCCATTCGTTCCGTGTCTTCCAGTCTCGAAGAGAGGCCCGTAAGAGATTTCCTCGACGCGTCTAAGTCCTACGCTATTCTTGTCAAACGTCTCCGTTGCTTTCCGCACACGGTCCCATTACTTTCGTCCAATGCTCGATGGTCCACAACATGGGATTACCGCGGAGCTCCTCACCCTCAATTGCGCTCTTGTCCATTCCAGATACTCGCTGAGACGCAATTCCAATTCCACAGAAGGAATTCTAGCCGCAGTTTCTTCAACTCGTGTCTGAAAGGTCTCAATTCCTCATACGGCACCTTCAAGGGAACCAATTTCATCACCTTCTCACTTTTCTTGGGCGCCATGTATTCAATTTGCGTTTCGCTAATCGCGGGTTGGCTCTATTGCAATTCCTCTCGCTCTCGATCGTTCTTGCTCGATATCGCAATGTCGGTGCGCAGTCTCCTCCTATTGCCTTTACCCTTGAAGCCCTAACATTGCCTTCTCCTGCGCCTCGTAGAATTCCCGATGCGTGCAAACCTCGTCCGGCCCGTTGCATGATTTGAAATTGATTCCGATGTCTTCGCCGAAGACGCAGCTCTTTGTGCGTCCTAAAAGACTGCGCCGAAGACGCGAAGATCCGAAGATCTTCGGACGTAGACAAATTCTAACTAATCCTATGAGAACACCTATAAATGTACTCTTTTCAACTCATATAGCTATCTTCTACACACAAATGTTTATGTTTTTGTTAATTTTTAAAGAAAAACAAAAAAGTAGGCCCCACAATCTTGACTAGTTTCATCATCATAGTTTAAAGTCAATTTGACTAGATTCATCATCATACTTTATAGTCAATTTGACTAGTTTCATCATCATAGTTTGCAGTCAATTTGACTAGTTTCATCATCAAAGTTTACCGTCAATCTTGACGAACTCAATTGTCAGAGTTTATAGTCAATCTTGACTAGCTCAATTGTCAGAGTTTATAGTCAATCTTGACTAGCTCAATTGTCAGAGTTTATAGTCAATCTTGACTAGCTCAATTGTCAGAGTTTACCGTCAATCTTGACTAACTCAATTGTTAGAGTTTTTTTATCAATATTGACTACCTCAATCATCAAAATTTATCGTCAATCTTGACTAGCTCAATTACCAGAGTTTATTGTCAATGTTAATTATTAGAGTTTAATTTCAATCTTGATTAGTTCAATCACTAGATTTTACCGTTAAT